GGGTGTTTGGTTTGGGTGGTGTTTTGGTGGGGTGTTTGGTTTGGGTGGTGTTTTGGTGGGGTGTTTGGTTTGGGTGGTGTTTTGGTGGGGTGGTTTGGTTTGGTTTTGCAGTTCTGTATTATTTTTTAACGCAGCTGGTGTCAAGGCCGGGTCTTCTTGTGGCGTCCTCACTGGCTGGTTTTGCTCTGTTTAGAGCTTTGCCGAGTTTGTGTTTGGTAGGGTGTGGCTGGTGTCCCAGGTCGGCTTGCGGGAGGTCGGTCATTAGGCCCGGTGGCCAGGCTTGAGCTGGCTGGCCTTCCCGTGAGTGACTTCGTTTCCACAGACGTCCACCTAAAATAGCCAGCCGCCACTGCGGGATGCTGGCCCCGGCCCCGCGTTTGGATCGGGATCAGAGGTTTCACACACCATCCGGAACGCGGGACTTTACACACCCGCGCTGGGCGCGCAGCGGCTAACACGGGGCCTCTGCTCAGGGCTCGTCCCAGAGGCCCCGGGCGTCATGGCGCCCCCTGCTGTTTGCTCTGGGGTTTTCGTCTCTGTCCTGAGGTAGCGTCTTCCTGAGTAGCCCAGGCTGCCTCCAGCTGTGACTTCTGCTTTAGCCTCCTGAGTGTCTCACAACTGACGGGTATCGCCTTTGTTTTTATAATGTAAAAGAATTCATTCATTCATTCATTCATTCATTCATTCATTCATTCATTCATTTTTCCGAGACATGTTTTCTCTGGGTAGCCCTGGCTGTCCTGGACTCGCTCTGTAGGCCAGGCTGGCCTCGAACTCACAGAGATCCTCCTGCCTCTGCCTCCCGAGAGCTGGGATTACAGGCGTGCGCCCCCGCCACCCGGCTAAGGTTTGCACCTTAAATAGAGAGTGTATGTATGTGTGTGTGTGTGTGCGCGCGCGCGCGTGGGTCTGTGTGTGTGTGTGTGTGTGTCTGTGTGTGTATATGTGTATGTGTCTGTGTGTGTCTATGTGTGTGTCTGTGTGTCTGTGTATGTGTCTGTGTATGTGTGTGTGTGTGTGTGTGTGTGTGTCTGTGTGTGTCTATGTGTGTGTGTGTGTGTGTGTGTGTGTGTGAGTGTGTAGAGACGGTAGGCTGGCCATCAGCTCATCCAGGCTGCACCGAGGCCCTCTGCGTGGCGGCTGGACTCCATGCAAGAGCAGACTGTGCTCTCGACCTGAGCCCTCTCCAGCCCCTACTTGTGTTTCTGAGAAACAGGGTCTCACTGTGTAGCCCGGGCTGGCCTTGCACTTGCTCTGTGGCCGGGCTGGCCTTGAACTTGTGTTTCTCTGGCCTCGGCCTTCCAGGCGCGGTAGTTAGACGATGGGATAAACTGCCTGGCTTCCTCAGCTGTGTTCTGGTAAAGGAGAAGGCCGCGTGGTGCCGTTCACTCGTGCTGTCAGGGTTTTCCCCGCCAGCGTTAGCCAATCCTGCGGGTCTGGCAGCCCGCTCTTCCGCCGACTGGGATGGGGCAGGGCGCCTGCTGGGGCCGCCTGTGTCCTCAGTGTCGGGAGGGAGGCGCCGGCAGAGTGGCTCGGGGCCCCCTCGACCCTTGAGGGCAGCCCGGGGAGTCCGGGGGGCAGCCCCGGTTCATGAACGCCGCGGGGGCTCCGCCAGCCTGCGGGTGGGGCGGGGGGGCCCTGCTCTGGCCGCCCCCCTCTCCCAGCAGGGCCCCTCCCGTCCTGAGCTCCTCTGGAGGCGGGTTTGTTCTTGTTTTGCAGTTGGGAGATTCTTTTCAAAGCTTTAATTTTTAAACTTAATTTGTGTGTGTGTGTGTATGCCTGCACCACATCTGGGCACTGTGTGTGTGTGTGTGTGTGTGTGTGTGTGTGCGCGCGTGCGTGCGCGCGTGAGAGAGAGAGAGAGAGGGGTCAGAGGAGTGCTGGATGCCCTGGACTGACAAGGCACCACGTGGGCTCCGGGGACTGAACCCTGGTCCTGGGAAGAGCCGCCAGCGCTCCAGCCGCTGAGCCGTCCCTCTGCTTCCCGGCAGCCTGTGGCCAGGGCACCTTCAAGGCCCAGACGGGCGCCGAGGCCTGCCAGCCGTGCCCGGCCAACAGCCACTCCAACACCGTGGGCTCCGCCGTCTGCCTGTGCCGGATCGGCTACTACCGGGCCAGGGCCGACCCCCGGAGCGCGGCCTGCACCAGTAAGTGCCCGCCGGGGCGAGGGGCGCCGAGCCCGCGGGGGTCTGGGGGCTGCGGACCCCACGCCCGGCCCGGCCGAGCTCTCCCTCCTCTGCGGGAGGCCGGGGGAGGCCGGGGGCAGGCCGGGGGGAGGCCGGGGGGAGGCCGGGGGGAGGCCGGGGCGGCCGCGGGGTGGTGGCCACCGAGGCCGGCCCGGCAGGCCCGCTCCAGCCGCCCCCCCCGGCCCCGCAGCCCCGCCGTCGGCGCCGAGGAGCGTGGTCTCCCAGCTGAACGGCTCCTCGCTGCGGCTGGAGTGGAGCGCCCCGCTGGAGTCCGGAGGCCGCGCCGACCTGGCCTACGCCGTGCGCTGCCGCGAGTGCCGGCCGGGCGGCCCCTGCCTGCCCTGCGGGGGCGACCTGACCTTCGACCCCGGCCCTCGGGACCTGCGGGAGCCCTGGGTGGCCGTCCGAGGGCTGCGGCCCGACGCCACCTACGCCTTTGAGGTGTCCGCTTTGAACGGCGTGTCGGCCTTGGCCGCCGGGCCGGCTCCCTTCGAGCCCGTCAACGTCACCACCGACCGTGAGGGTAAGAAGGGGTGTCGGCTGCTGGTGACGGCCGCGTTGAGCGCGCAGGGGACCCTAGTCAGATCTGAGCACCGCAGGCACCGACACTCGGGAAGGGGAAGTGGGAAAATCACAAGTTCCGGGTTACCCTCAGCTAGGACCTGAGACCCATGGCGGAAGACAGTGAATTTAAAAAGCGATGGAGGAGAGGCTTGTGGTGTGTCTGTGCTCACACGGGAATGCCGTAGCGAAGCCTACCGTCCGGTTCCTGCGCTACCATAAATTCTGAAAGAAGGGAGAAAGAAGAGCTCCCACGGTTTTGGTCCCAGTATCTGGGAGCCGGAGGCAGGAAGACCAGGAGTTCAAGGCCAGCCTCAGCTACTGCTTGAGACTCTGCCTCAAGGAAAGAGAACTGTGTCTTGGCTACTTTTCTGTCTGCGAAGGGACCATGGCCAAGGCGACTTATAAGAGAAAGCATTCGCTTTGGGGCTCATGGTTTCAGGAAAGAGAGCTGTGACTGTCACGGCGGCGAGCAAGGTGGCAGGCAGACAGGCGCGCGCCCACCTTGGTTTACAGGCCAAAGGCAGGGACACACACACAACAGGAAACGGGTTGGTAGCTGGCCAGCTCTCTGGGATTAGGGGTGAGGGGCTGTCCGGCTCTCCCTGGGTGCTGGGGTCCGCACGCCTGGCCTCGGGCAGAGTGCTCGCGGTCCCAGGATCTTCTTTTGACAGGAGCTTGCATGTGGCCTCGGCCGCCTTCTGGCACAGCAGCTCACCTGCGTCCCCAGTGCACAGAGGGACTTACTCTTTCAAAGCTGTGTGTGTGTGTGTGTGTGTGTGCGCGCGCGTGTGGACGTGTGTGGGGTGTCCAGGGAGGCCAGAGGAGGGCGTGGGTCCCCGGAACTGCAGTTGCTCAGCTGTGAGCTGAGCGGGGGGCTGAGAGCCCAGGTTCTCTGCTCTCGCCCTCGGCCGTCCCCAGCTCCCCGGAGAAGTTGGGTGTAAGCAAACTCTAGGGCTCGGGGCCCAGCTGGGGCAGGGGTCATCCCGGCCTGGGGGGGGTGCGGCGGGGGGGGACCTGGGGAAAGTGATTGCTCGGCCTCCAGCAGCCAAGAGCGTCTGTCTCCTACAGTGCCCCCCGCGGTGTCCGACATCCGCGTCACTCGCTCCTCACCCAGCAGCTTGAGCCTGTCTTGGGCTGTGCCCAGAGCACCCGGCGGGGCCGTGCTGGACTATGAAGTCAGGTATCATGAGAAGGTGAGAGGAGGCTCTCTTGGGGGGGCGCTGAGCCGAGCTGGGGTTCCTGGCTGTGGAGACATTATTTTGGTGAGCGTTGCAGTTTCGGGTGACTCTGTTAACTCACAGCCATGGGCCTCTCTAAGTCCCTGTTACCCTTAGAACAGTGTGACACCACCAGGGGCACAGAACTTCGGTAAAGGGCTGGGAGTGGCTCGGAGGAGAGCCCTGCCTAGACTCTCCAGTGAGGGGTTGGGGTGTGGCTCGGTGGTGGAGTCCTTACTTGGCATGCGAGGGGCCTGAGGTCTGAGTCCCAGCACCCCAAAGAGAAAACAATGTCTGCCAGAAAGAATCCCACGAGGTGGGATGAAGAGGGCTCGGGGGAGGGAAGAGAAGCCGCAGAGCAGGAGCATCTCACGGCCATCCCTCCTCCTCCTCCACAGGGCGCAGAGGGCCCCAGCAGCGTTCGGTTCCTGAAGACCTCAGAAAACCGGGCTGAGCTCCGGGGGCTGAAGCGGGGAGCCAGCTACCTGGTGCAGGTCCGCGCCCGCTCCGAGGCCGGCTATGGCCCCTTCGGCCAAGAGCATCACAGCCAGACTCAGCTGGATGGTGAGTGTGCGGCTTCTGGTGGAGGTTGGGAGGGTTGCCCCGCCAGGCAGGGCTTGGCCCAGTACCTCAAAGTCCTGTAAGGCCTGGCCGGCAAAGACAGCATCCGACATGGAGATGCTACGCTGCCTCTTCCTCCTTAGCAGCAGGGTGGCCCAGACCGTCTGGTAAACTAGGAAAACCGCCCATCCTCAGAGTCCTGAGGAAGAGTGAGGCAGCTCGTGTTGTGTTGTCTTCTTTGGTTTCTCTGTGTGGCCCTGGCTGTCCTGGACTCGCTCTGTAGACCAGGCTGGCCCGCTCCTCCTGCCTCAGCCTCCTGAGCGCTGGGGTTACAGGAGTGTTCCGCCCTGCTTGGCCGCTTTCGTCCTTCTTTTTTAAATCTTTTCTCCCATCCCTGTTCTTCTCTTTTATGCTCGTTAAAGATTTTATTTTATGTGCCTGAGTATTTTGCCTGCACGTGTGTGTGCGCTGTGTATGCGGCCTGGCCTGCCCGTGAAGGCCGGAAGTGGGAGCTGCGGGCCTTGGGCGGGGAGTGTTCGAGCTTCCCCCCTGCGGATGCTGGGAAGGGAGCAGGTCCCCCAGCCGTCTCCAGGCTCCCCCACCACACCCCCCCTTTTTCTTCTAGAGACAGGGTCAGGTGTGTGGCACAGGTTGGGTTTTAACTTGGTGGTCCTCCTGCCTCCGCCTCTGAAGTGCCGGGTCAGGGCGTGGGCCCTCGCTTTTGTCTTCTTTTCTTTTGTGCTGAAGGAATCCGAGACCTTCGGCAGGCTGGACCAGCCCTGTTCCGCTGCGCTACAGCCTGGCCTTCACTTGAGTTTGAGAAAGGGTTTGGTGAAGTTGCCCAAGATGACCCAGAACCTGGTGCTGTGGCCCAGGCTGGTGTTCAGCTCTCGCCCAAGAGATCTCTGTTTGTGTGTAAGGACACCGAAACATGTCTTAAAACAAAACCGAAATGTCCCTGGTTGGGGAGATGACGGCTTGGCAGAGTGCCGCTCTGGCCGGCGTGGGACTCCAGGGCGGGCGCCCAGCACACGTGGCCGTCCTGCGCGCCTCCACACGCGTGCACACGGCAGTGGACAGAAGCTGCCCGCAGCCTGGCCCGGCCTGAGGCTGGGTGAGGGCGTCTCGGGTGCTCAGCTTTACCTTCTTCCCGCAGAGAGCGAGAGCTGGCGCGAGCAGCTCGCCCTGATTGCGGGCACTGCGGTGGTGGGCGTGGTCCTGGTCCTGGTGGTCGTGGTCATCGCTGTCCTCTGCCTCAGGTAAGGGTGGCCAGCACACACCCTGGGGCGGGGCTCCGCCTTCCAAGCTGCCCTCCTTAGCACGGTGACCCTGAGCCACGTCTTCCCGTGGCTTCTTTGAAACCGCCATTTTGCTAGTCCCGGGTGGTAACGTGGACCCCTGACAGGTGACTGACGGGCCAGCCTGCCGGAAGCGGGACCCTTGGGGTGGAGGCCCTCGGGCGGCCCTGGGTCCCCTCGGGTTCTCAGCCGGCCTTTCTCCAGACCCCGACTCATCCTTCTCCGGCCGGAGGGCTGTGCGCCTCGGTTTACCTTCTTCCCTTCTCTCGGCTCCAGGAAGCAGAGCAGCGGGCGGGAGGCTGAGTACTCCGACAAACACGGGCAGTACCTCATCGGGCACGGTATGTGGGCGCGGTATGTGGGCGCCGGCGGGGGCGCCGGCCGGGGGCACGGCCCAGAGGACTGACCGGCTGGGCTGGCCTCGTCTACCCCCAGGTGCTAAGGTGTACATTGACCCCTTCACTTACGAAGACCCCAACGAGGCGGTGAGGGAGTTTGCCAAAGAGATTGACGTGTCCTATGTCAAGATTGAAGAGGTGATCGGAGCAGGTGAGGGGGGTCCAGGGAGCCGGTGAGGGGGTCCAGGGAGCCGGTGAGGGGGGGTCCAGGGCCCAGGGAGCCGGTGAGGAGGTCCAGGGCCCAGGGAGCCGGTGAGGAGGTCCGGGGCCCAGGGAGCCGGTGAGGAGGGTCCAGGGAGCCGGTGAGGGAGGTCCAGGGCCCAGGGAGCGCCTGCCACACAATTGTGAGTTCAGTCAGCAGACACACAGGAAAAGCCGAAAGCTGCCACACAAGCGCTGGGGTAGGTACCCAGGTCTGTGGGGACAGCTGGGCTCTCGGGGCTTAGTGGCCCGCAGCCGAGCCGGGCGATGAGCTCTGGCTTCCACGAGAGGCCTCTGCAGAAGCCGGTGGGGGCTGGACGCCCTCAGTCCCAGCACTGGGGAGGCAGAGGCAGGGCGCCCACAGAGCTAGTTGCCTGGCTGGGCCTGCGGGAGGGCTCAGTGGACACAGGCGGCTGCAGCCCAGGCTGATGACCGGGCGTCCTTGACCCACATGCTGGGAGGAGAGAAGATTGTCCTGTGACCTTCACACACTAGTACCCCTGCCGGACGTCCCTTTCACACGCACGCATGCGCGCAGCTGCGGGGTCACGTGCATACAGCTCACACAGGCCGACGCCCGGGAGATGGGGGTGAGGAAGACAACTGGCCCTGCCGTTCTGGTTGCAGGGGAGTTTGGTGAGGTGTGCCGGGGCCGCCTGAAGGCACCGGGGAAGAAGGAGGGCTGTGTGGCCATCAAGACCCTGAAGGGTGGCTACACGGAGCGGCAGCGGCGAGAGTTCCTGAGCGAAGCCTCCATCATGGGCCAGTTCGAGCATCCCAACATCATCCGCCTGGAGGGCGTGGTCACCAACAGCGTGCCGGTCATGATCCTCACGGAGTTCATGGAGAACGGAGCCCTGGACTCCTTCCTGCGGGTGAGCCGCCCGCACCGTCACAAGCCCCAAATGTGGATCGGTGGAGAGCCCGTGTCTAGAGTCCCCCAGTGAGGGGCTGGGGTGTGGTCAGTGATGTAGCCCCTGATAGAATTCCCCAGTGAGGGGCTGGGCATGGCTCAGTGGTAGAGCTCCTGTCTAGAGTCCCCCAGTGAGGGGCTGGGGTGTGGCTCAATGGTCACCTGCCTAGAATCCCCCAGTGAGGGGCTGGGGTGTGGCTCAGTGGTGGAGCCCCTGCCTAGAATCCCCCAGTGAGGGGCTGGGTGTGGCTCAGTGGTCACCTGCCTAGAATCCCCCAGTGAGGGGCTGGGGTGTGGCTTAGTGGTGGAGCTTTTTCCTAGAATCTCCTAGTGAGGGGCTGGGGTGTGGCTCAGTGGTGGAGCCCCTGCCTAGAGTCCCAGTGAGGGGCTGGGTTGGCTCAGGGTAGGGTGCTTTGAGGTCTGAGGCTCAGTGGCCAACATGAGGAAAAGGCGTGCAGCTTCTGAACGCAGCTGGCTCTTCCCTCCAGGGCTGCAGAGGGCCGGTCCCTGCACCCTAGCTGAGGACAGATAGGATCGGCTTAGTTTTGCTTTCCTGGTTGGTGTGGCTGTGAGGGGAACGTGAAAACATGGCGGTTAGGCACCAGACCTCACCTTGCTCTGTGGCCTTCCACTTCTCAGTAGTCTTTCTGCAGCAACCACAGCTGCTCCGAAATGCTTTCCCACTGACCCTCTCATAGTGAACTCATAACTGGCCTCTGGTGCAAGTCTGTCCCTCAGATCTAGGGACCCGGATTAAGACGTTAGCTGACATCATTCGTGGTGGCTTGCCCCTGTCACCCCAGAACTTGGGAAGTTGAGGCAGGAGCATGGCCATTTCCAGGCCAGGCCAACCAGCTGGGCCCTGGGGCTTCTCTCTGTCATCTGGGAGTGGCCGAGCACCTTTAAAGTCAAGGCCAGGAGGATGGTGGCTCCTGCCTGTAGCCCCAGAGGTGGGGGTTGATGCAGGAGGATTGCATAAGTTCCGGGCCATCAGGGATGTGAGCAAGGCCTTGTCTCAGAAGCGGAAACGCCAAGGATGAGGTGTGGTGCAAGGGTCAGGGTGTCAGGGGAGCGGGAGAGACAGGGCACACGGGGGACGCGGCACCCGCGTGGCGGCACGGGGCAAAGGGTGAGCCGTGGCCTGAGCCTGAGCGTGCCGCCCGTGCCCGCAGCTCAACGACGGGCAGTTCACCGTCATCCAGCTGGTGGGCATGCTCCGAGGCATCGCGTCGGGCATGCGCTACCTGGCCGAGATGAGCTACGTGCACCGAGACCTGGCCGCCCGCAACATCCTGGTCAACAGCAACCTGGTCTGCAAGGTTTCGGACTTCGGCCTGTCCCGCTTCCTGGAGGAGAGCTCCTCGGACCCCACCTACACCAGCTCCCTGGTCAGCCTGGGTGGGGGGGGGAGGGGAGGCTGGGCGCGGGGAGAGGGGCGTGGGGAGAGGGGCGCGGGGAGGCCTGGTGTGGGGAGAGGGGTGCGGGGACAGGGGCGCGGGGAGAGGGGCGCGGGGAGGCTGGGCACAGGGAGGCGGGCTGCCCAGGCATCTTTGGCCCGGGAGGGAAAGCCAGAGCGGGCCAGAATCCGCCGCTGACGTGGGATGGCAGAGGTGGGCGGAGGGAGGGCAAGGGGTGACGGTGTCCCCCACGGCTGAGCTAAAATTTGCTGATGAAGACAATCTGAGTAAGGTTTGTACAGAGCCCGGGTGGCGAGCCTGTGAGCCTAGCACCCGGAGGGGGCAGAGGCAGGAGGATCTCTGTGAGTTGGAGGCCAGCCTGGCCTAGAGTGAGTCAGGAGAGCCTGGTCTACACGGAGAAACCCTGTCTCAAAAAAACAGAAAGAAAAGCCGAGGCAGCAGGAGCCGGGAGCAGCCACCCCTTGCACCCACTTTTAGGCAGGGTCTCTCCACCTTGGCTCGGTGTCGCCACAGGCCTGTCTCCCAGATGCCAGTCTGTTATGAACAGCTGTCTGTCCGTCTGACGCCCCCGGGCACTGTCCGTCCGTCCGTCTGACGCCCCGGGTCCAGTGCCTGGGCTCACCTCTGCCCGCCCCGCCCGCAGGGAGGGAAGATCCCCATTCGGTGGACCGCCCCCGAGGCCATCGCCTTCCGGAAGTTCACTTCGGCCAGCGACGCCTGGAGTTACGGCATCGTCATGTGGGAGGTCATGTCGTTCGGGGAGAGGCCGTACTGGGACATGAGCAACCAGGACGTACGTGCACCGTGGGCGCGCCAGGGCGTCCCGATGTTCCGTCGGCTGCGACTGGGGGTCCCCACGCGTGTGCGTGTGTGATAGTGGGGTGGCTCAGCAAGGTGACGCGGGGAGTAAAGCTTCTGCCGCGTAGACACGCGGACGGAGTTCACATCCCCAGCGCGCACACACAGCGGGGCCCGGTGGTGCTCACGTGTGTCCCGTTGCTGGGACGCTCACCGGGACTTCCTGGGTGCCAGGGTGGCCAGTGAGTCAGCCGGGCACAGGTGGGGGCTGGGGAGACCCACTCGGGAAAGCGTGCAAGCGTGAGGACCTCGTGGGGTGGCGGGGGCGTGCGCGCATGGCGCCGGCGCGTGGGGCGGACACGGGAGCTCCGGGCTCGAGGGAGGCCGCCTCGGCGCACAAGGCTGCTGGCCCTCCACACGAGCACGCACGTGGCCACTCGGGCGCACTCCGGAGAGCAGAGACTGCTCCTGGGCACGCGCTGCTGGAGGCCCAGTTCCGTCCCCGTGGCAGTGGAGGGACGTCACTGCCTCCTCCAGACTGCCCTCCGCCCCGGCGCCGTTGCACACACGCGCACACACACACCCGTTCCTAAATAAGTAAACGCACTTTAAAAGTGATTCAGGTCTGCAGTAAGGTGAGTAGGAGGCCCTACATTGACCTTTGGCCTCCACGTGCACGTACACGTATGGACTCACCCACGGACACGTGGACACACCCAGAGCTGGACGCAGCAGTGTTGGCTTAGGGGGTGGGCAAAGGGCGGCGTTGGGAGGTCACAGACTCGAGCCGTGGGGTGGGGGTGCTGTGGGCCGGGTGGGCGCGGCTCCCACGACACGAGCACATGGTTGAGCCAGCTCCTTGCCCCCCCTCCTCTCCTGTCCCCCACCCTCCTCCCCGCAGGTGATCAACGCCATCGAGCAGGACTACCGGCTGCCGCCCCCGCCGGACTGCCCCACGGCGCTGCACCAGCTCATGCTGGACTGCTGGCAGAAGGACCGCAACGCGCGCCCGCGCTTCCCGCAAGTGGTCAGCGCCCTGGACAAGATGATCCGCAACCCCGCCAGCCTCAAGATCGTGGCCCGGGAGCACGGCGGCGGGTGAGCACCGGGCGGTCCTCCGTCCCCAGGGCCCCTGTGGAGGGCGCGCTCAGCCCTCCCTCCGCCCCTCCCTCCCCAGGGCCTCGCACCCGCTCCTGGACCAGCGGCAGCCCCACTACTCGGCCTTCGGCTCCGTGGGCGAGTGGCTGCGGGCCATCAAGATGGGGCGATACGAGGAGAGCTTCGCCGCGGCCGGCTTCGGCTCCTTCGAGGTGGTCAGCCAGCTCTCTGCAGAGTACGTGGCCGCCCGCCCTGCCGCCAGCCCCGAAGCAGCGCTCCCAGCTTCCGGCGCTGAGGCGCTGAGGCGGAGGGGCTCCCGGTCCTTCCCTTGCTGCCCGCGCGCGGAGCGCCCGCCCCTCCCTTCCTCCCAAGGCCTTTGCGCTCCGCAGCTTTGCTGGCCACTTGGGTAGAAAGGCCGGGCTGTGGCCACACCACTGGACTTCCCAGCCCCGGGAGGCCGAGGCAGGGGGTTGTCCAGCTGGGGCAGGTGTGGGATAGGTCTCTGCCCGGTCAAATATGTAACACCGAAACGCCTCCATTGGATGAGTGGCCAGGCGGGTCCCCTGGCCCCGACACCCCCCTTAGCCAGAGGGCCCGTTACTAACGCCCAAGCCTCGTCCGTGGCCCTTTCCGAATCTCTTCCTCCTCTACTGAGGCCTGCGTCCGCCCGCCGCCCTCCTCCAGCGTCCTGACTGGCTGCCGTCTCTCCGCAGGGACCTTGTCCGGATTGGAGTCACCCTGGCAGGGCACCAGAAGAAAATCCTGGCCAGCGTGCAGCATCTGCAGTCCCAGGCCAAGCCGGGAGCCCCCGGCGGGACAGCCGGGCCCGCCCAGCAGTTCTGAGGACTCGGCGCCCCAGCCTCCCGCTGGATTGCACTTTGACAGGGGGGTCGGACTTGGTAACCTTGGAGCCCCAGGATTTGCGAAAGCGTGCCCTGTGGCTAGCGGGCAGGAACCCCAGACCCAGAGTCTTTCCTGGAGCCTGGGCAGAGAGCCCTGCCCTGCTGGTCCCCCATCTTCCCAGAGGCTCCGCGCAGGCGCCCTCCACCTCAGCGGCACGGCCCACACCAAAGAGCAGGGCGCCCAGCCTGGGACCTGGGAGTAGAGGACTCCGCCCGGGAGGCAGGGCGGCCCTGGGGACCCAGGCCCACTGGCCGCCGTCACCACCAAAGGCAATCATTTCCCCTGTACATGCCCCTCCCCCATCCGCCTTCATATTGAAGGCTCTGGATTTTGACTATTTTTATTTGGTATTTCTCTCCTCTTCCCCTCCTTGTCCGGAGTCTGTGTTGCGGGGTCCCTGCTCCCACTGTCTGCTGTTGGGAACAGGGACCCATGAAAGCATTGGAGAACAGTGCCTTGGAAATGTCACCGACCGCCAGGCAGCTCCCTCCCTCCCTGTCCACAGGTGGCCGAGTGTGTGGTGAGGGCAGGAGGGCAGTGGTGGGCCACAGAGGCAGACGCCGGTGCGTGGAAGGGGTTTCATAAATTATATTTAAAGAGAAGCTTTTTGTATAAATAAAAGAAAATGGACCACGTGCCAGCGCCGAGGGTGCCGGGAAGCTGGGAACAGGCTAGCTCTCGGAGAACATGGGTCTGTGTTTGCAGGGTTGGCCAGGTGTGGGGGAGGTGCGGGTGTGGGTTCCCAGCCCCAGGGTGTCATGCTCGGGTTGGTCACTGGCAGCTGGTGCTAACGGCCCTGCAGGCCCTGCCAGGAGCCTCAGGCACCTCCGGGATGGGGCTGCCAAGTCCTGCCGTCCTCTGTATCCTCAGCTCTGCCAGGCTGTGTGGGGGAAACCGGGCCTGTAACCCACTGTCCTGCCCTGGAGAACCTTCAAAGGGCCAGGGGTACAGGTGACAGCGGGCACAGGAGACAGCGGGCACAGGAGACAGTGGGCACAGGAGACAGTGACAGCGGGCACAGGAGACAGTGGGCACCGGAAACAGTGGGCACAGGAGACAGTGGGCACAGGAGACAGTGACTGGACACAGGAGATAGTGACAGCGGGCACAGGAGACAGTGACAGCGGGCACAGGAGACTGGGCACAGGAGACAGTGACTGGACATAGGAGACAGTGGGCACAGGA